AGTATGCGTGACCGTTAGAACGTACTTAAGTCTTCTGCATAACTATTTGTCATTTCTCTGGTTGACCTTTTGGTCCTGATTAAAGTTTTTTCTCGTTAGAGAAAAACCAAAGCATTCCACGCTCTTAATGTTTCAACTTGTCCAACAAAAACTTTGTGCGTATCGGAGGGTTAACTTTTGTTCTTGCAGACAATAATTAGTCTCTTTGCATCACATATGACTTTTATCGACAATTCTTCTGATAGAACGCCTTTATGTCTTAAGCTTAGTGACAACATTAATTGACTTTCAAGGTTTTGGAAGTAAGTGAGCATACAACAGAAATCAAAAGAAATACTACTACTACTACTACTACTAATAATAATAATATGAACACCACCCAGACCCGGTTACGGAGATAGGACCTGTTACAATTCTATGGGACTACACAATACACACTGTCAGAACAATCAAAGCCAACCGCCCAGACATTGTTATTAAAGACCACGAACAAAAAAAGTGCCTCCTTATTGATATGGCAGTCCATGCAGACTACAATGTATAATGATATGCAATGATATTCAAAAAGCTGTCAAAATACAAGGACCTTGAAATAGAAATCTCAAAAATGTGGCACCTGGGAACATCAACAATCCCTGTTGTAGGTGGAGCCCTAGGATTGGTTGGAAAAGATTCCAGTAGACTAATCGAAGGGATTCCTGGAAGTCCATACCTCAAAAAATTGTTCTGACAAGTACAGTCAACACTTTACGAAGGGCTTTGTCTATGTAATTCTTTTTTTATTTTCAGTGGAAAGTGTCATGATGCCATTTCTAACCTTAGGTCCATGGGCGGGACCCGGAAAGAAATGTGTAAACGCCAGAAATCAAAGAAAATAAAAATAATAATAATAAATAAAACATTTTGATTATTTAATATGCATTACTCTAAGAAGGTTCATATTTTAGAATTATAATGACTCAGCCAAACTCTTATGTTTATAACAAGAGACCTCGATTCCCCTTGGATGATTCATTGTTGTCGTCTTCTGCTAAACTAAGATATTCATAAAAAATATCTATATATGTTCAGCAGGTGGCCATGTGTGCAACCATATTTATAATATAAACTGCATTCGCTTACAATTGTGTCTGTGTATAAAAGTATGGTAATGTATTTATATATATATATATATATATATATATATATATATATATATATATATATATATATATATATATATATATATATATATATATATATATATATATATATATATATATATATATGGGCACGTAGCCGATTGGTTAGAACGTTTGCATTCAGACAATGAAAACTGAGTTCACCATAGTCGATTTGTCAGGAAGGAGGCTTCCTGATGTCATCGGGCTGGAGGTATTCGATCCCAGCGTGCGGCATTTGAAAGTCCCTGAAAACCATACCACAGGTTGACCAAGCCTTGTGAGTGAAATTACGTAGACGGATTGGGTTGATAGCTGTGCTAACACGAATTACAAGGCCTTGTTCAAATTGTTGATCACGCTAGATAACACGCCCGTTCCCAGAAACTGTAACTAAGGTCTGCTCAGCATAGTTGCAGTATAAACCACAGGTGGGCTCTGTGGGTGTTGAATAAATATAAATGTGCCTGAGCGAGCGTCTGAAATAGGGATTGGCTAGCCGCCCTGGTAGACAAGTATCCTCGAATACGAGTGGCCAGCTATATGATACCTACGTATATATTAGAACATGTTCTGATATGCAATTACAGCTTGTGTCATTTTATTCGGCGTTAAGCATCCATTTTGGAATTGAATGTGTAGATGGAGCTGATCAAGTGAAATAATTTTCAACTACATATAGAGCATCTGTGTTGACATGCGTTTGAATATCATGACAGAATTTGGCCGAGAAAATAACGTGTAGACCTACCAACTTTTACAGAAAATAATTGCTATTTTGTAGTAATATGGGCATTCGCTCTTGTAGTTAAGTGTAGGTTTTTTGTATGGTGAAATAGTAAATTTGTTATTATTTGTGTTAAACAATATGTCAAGGAAGGGAATTTTATTATTAGTATTGAGTTCAAACGTGTATTTAAGGACAGAATTATTTTGGAAACGTTTTTGAAGTTGAAATATTTCATCTGTATTTTTAACTAACATAAGGATATCATCAACATATTACTACAAAATAGCAATTATAAAAAATCTAATACATCGTGCAGAAACTAATTCATCCACAAAACAGATTTTTATAGTGAGCTAAACAATATAAAACTAACACTTATTAATAATAGCTTTCCAAACTATATAGTTGATGATCAAATAAGATGCTTTCTTAGAAATCTCAATACTAAGCAAATCGTACATAATATGGTTTCTACTAATCTCAAACATATTAATCTCCTATATCGTAATCAAATGCATACTAATTATAAACAAGATGAAAATATACTAAAAAATTAGTAAATACTAATATATCTACAACAGATCCTAGCAAAAAATTTAAGTTAATCATATACACTAAATCTAGTATATCCAACTCAATTATTCGCAATGATTCTTCTCCCCCGGCTAGCGATTTGCAAAAAAACCAACATAGTTTACAAATTCAAGTGCCCTTTGGGAGATTGTATCTCCAACGAATTAAATAATATTTATGTTGGTTACACCACAAACACGCTTTCACGACGCTTGACACTACATTTGAATGATAACTCTAACATTTTTAGGCATTTAAAACAACATGCCTGGCCGCATACACAATCCCGGAAAATCCTTGTTGAAAACACAACTATACTTAAACATGAAAACAATAAACAAAAACTAAAAATTCTTGAAGCTATATGCATAAAACAGTTGAAACCTAACCTAAACAAAATAAACTATGAAATCTCCACAAATATTCTTAAATGCCTATAATTGGTAACAGAAGCCATTGGTTTATACCAACAGTTTCCCATCCTTAATACTTCTCGTTTTCACTCTCGCGTGGTCATGTGTGACGTCTTGATCTGCGGTGGTTTTATATTATATATATATATATATATATATATATATATATATATATATATATATATATATATTCTATCATGCTCTAGAGTGAGCGGCTTGGTGATAGTAGTCGTGGCTCCAGGGGGAGGAGCAGTCCTATGGTTAGAGAGAAACTCAGCAGTGTTCCGCCACGGAATATGTGAGCGAGCGGCGCTATATTGAGTCTGATTTGCAATCTCTTCGTCACCGAGGCCCGTTGGAACAGTTGGTATGATGTTTGCTTGACGACCTAACTGTCAGGGTTTCAATTCACGGTAATAGATACGCACTGCTGATGAGTCCTAAATATAGGATGAAACGGCCGTCCAGTGCTTTCTGCATTCTGTCGAGTTTTCTATCAGACTCGATGAATTACTTGTGTGTGTGTAAAAGAATGCTGTTTTTATTTATTAATCCGACAGATTTTCATTTCTAGTTTTTTAGTGGATGTTCGCATTTGAGTAGACGATCCGTTTACTTATAAAAAAGTATATTTATTTATTTCGTCTAACTGCCTGAATATTCGATAAAACTTATTAGAGAAAAATAAAGAAATATACTGTTTAACAAGTAATAGTATCCGCTAAAAATAACGTCTATGTTATTCCTAAAGAATTAACGAATTTATTTTTCTGACGAAATTTTTATCATTCAAAGGTTTTTAGTGGATACCCGTATTTGAAATAGACGCTCGATTAATTTTAAACCGTATTACATCTATCGGAAATCCTGATAAATAAAATATGCTCTCTCTATTTTCTTTATTAAAATTTCTCGAGTTTTGAAAATATAAACGGGCCTCTTATTCAAACATTGGTAAGAACTAAAAATAACGTCCGAAGTAATATATATATATATATATATATATATATATATATATATATATATAGAAGGTGATATAACAATGACCATGACATGATATTGTATTCCTATTGATATTGTATTCATATCAATTAATAACATCATTCATCAAAATATTTTCAAATATCTTCAATGTTATTTTATTAGTATATGCCACATTTCAGTACATATCATTTTCGATCTGATGAATTTATAAGGATTTTTTCGATATTTTTAGCTTGTCCAGATAAATGTCGAGGTTGCATAGAACGAAACATTATGGTAATTTCAAGGTGTCAGGTCTGTAGAAAAACTTTACAGATGAAATAATTTCTCATTCTCGCTTTATCGTTTGCAGGGTTTCATTTACTGCTTGTGATAGGCCATACTCACGCAGAAAAAACATCATTCAATTTCATTACTCCCCAAAGGTATCTTTTGTTTCAATATATCATCCAAAAGAGCGTGTTCAGGTTCAAGAAATTGGTTATATAGAATTCCCTTTGAATATCATAAATCTTCTTTTTCTTTAGTAGATTCCGTTTAGGTTTTGATGCTAAATATTGTCTTGCACGATTTCCTTCAATTTTGATTTTTGTAACAATCCATTTTTCATTGCCGGTGACCATCTTCTTTAAAAAAAAGTCAAACCCAAAGTGAAAAGCAAATATATAGACACTGACCGATATACATTCCTATACGTTCATGTGGAAGCCATTTTTCTATTTTTGAATCTTTCTTCGGGCTTGTAAACAACATACAATTGTTGGTTGATTGTATCAGTAACAAAGAACTAAAAGAACGTCAAGGACATTTCTCAGACTTGCCTGACATTGCGCAAAAGTTGGCACAGGGAATTTTTACAGCAAGTTGATATTTGCATGCGGGTTCTTGTCAAGGCTTACAATGAGTGTAATAACATTTTATAGTTATTACTACCTGGACAATAGTTATGAAGACACGGTTTGTCCAAATTATAATCATCCACTCTCTTCTTCGCAAAACATTGTGTTATGCTAAGAAGTAAAGCTTTTTAAAAAAAAAAGATATTTTGTGGTGGGACGTAGTGCAAGAATCGAGTTTCATAGCTTACCCAAGGACATGAATGTTAACTGAATATCACCGATACTGTTCCTGTCTTGATAG